CCCGAGCCGCTCGCGCCGCCGCCGCCGCCGGCCCGCGCGCCCCGAGGTCCGGCCCGATAGTCGGGGAGGGGGCGCAGGGTGCAGTGCGCAGGCGCCTCGGCTGCACTTCCCCAAAGCGCGGGGCCGGGACTTCCTCGCGCGGGGAGGCGCCCGGCCCGCCCTGCCAGGCGCGCCCCGCCCCGCGCTCGGCTGGCCTTGCTCCCCACCCGCCCCCTCCCCACGTCCCGTTAGATTCGGCGGGGCACCCAGGTGCCCACCGTCGCTTAGGGTGGCCCGTGGAGACGAGGTGCTAATGATGGGGCCTCTGGACGCAGGGCGGCCTGAAACGGCACTGCAGTAGATGGGGGTGTGGTCGTGTCCTCCACTCTGTTCAGGGGGGCCGGTCCGGCTTTGCCATTCTTGTGGGTGCCCCTGAGACTCTGGTCCAGTGCCTGGGCACAAGAGCCCTTAAGACCCTGCGGTCCTATATGCTCCTTGCCAGGCTGGAAAGGACTGTATAGTGGTTCCTCCAGGCCCAGGCCTAGCCTCCCTGCGACTATGTGCTGTCGCCTGTAAAGTGGGGTTAAGAGCTCACTGGCACAGGGTTCTAGGGGGCTTCCCAAGAAAGGGGGCGTCCTGTGCCCGGGTGCTGGTGGATACTGGCGGTATGGGTTCCTACATCTGGAGTCACCAAATGTTCCTGTCTGTGGGGCCTGAGTCTTTTCCAACCCCTCCAGTTGCCCTGAGATGTCCTCAAGCTTAAAGCCACACCCTCCCTTTTGCAACGAATGCCCTGTCCCTTCTCTTTGGCTGCCTCTCCTGATATTTTTTGCTCTGTTACAGCGGTCAGTTAAATTTCTTATCCTGGCATGCTTTGGGCCAGTGCCAGAGCAGCCCTGACGCTGCTCTGGAAATGGGCTGCAGAGTGTCTGCGTCCCCCTGGCCTTGGACCATGTGCATCTCCTGTCCCCAGTGCAGGGACTCAGCTTGGTCAGTTCCTGATGCCTGGGTCCCGCTCACAAAATGCCTTCCAATTGCACAAGCCGATACGCACACGCTTTTCAGAACTCTTCTTCAAGACGTAAAGGGAAGTGGAGATTTTGTATGTGCTCTTCATTCGGCGATCATCTGGGTGCTCCCTGTGCGCCAGGCGGTGGCACCTAACAGTAAGTCAGATAGGCCAGCCCTGGAGCAGACAAGAAACAGCCTGGCAGACTGGGTGAGAGGTGAGGAGGGCTAAGGAGAGCCATACAGCCAAGGAGGGGGGTGTCCTTCAGCAAAGGACGGTGTTGGCAGGACAGCAGTGCGGGGGCCTGGGAGAGTGGGGGCCGCGCTGGAGGAGAGGGTGGCACAAGGTCAGGGAGGCGAGAGGGGCCCTGGGGGCTGGGGTGCCTCTCGACGCTGTGTGCCCAGAGGCCTCGGCTGGCATGGCCACAGAGCTATCTGGCTGACGGGCTGGCCAGGGGAGGCCAGAGGCCAGAAGCTTCTTATTTAACCTAGGTAACAGTCCTGAGAGGTAGGTCCTACAAGGACAGGTCAGCACCTGGTCAGTGTCACACAGCCACACGGATCCCACTGTGCTTGGTGTGGAGCCTCCACCCACCTCCTGAGAGATGTGTGGGGCAGCTGACCAAGTGTGGGGTCACACGCTTCTCCCTGCACTCACGCCACCCTACACCGTCTCTGCCCTCCCAGCCCTCCGTACACTGTACCTCCTCTGGCCACTTGGCTGTGCACTCTGTTCCCCTTGCCCTGGCCTTTCTGGGTCTCCTGCACCTCCTCCGGTGAGCCCGTCTCAACAGAGAGTGCCCCATATTCCATGGGAGGGATCCAGATGGGCTGGGAAGGAACTGGTTCAAAGCCATGCAGCAGATAATGGTGGACATGGGACTTGAACCCAGCACTCGCTGTCCAGAGCATGAGCAGGATCCCAGCTCCAGGACCAACCTGATCCCTTACAGTCCCCAGGACATTGAGTCCTGGCCCACATGCTGCACTCTCCCATAGCAGAAGCCTCTTCTGGGCCCGGCAGAAATGTCCTCAGCCACCTTCCCTGGATTCCTCTGCAGAGCTAGGGCCCCTTCCCTGGTGCAGCGATCCCCCCGGGACCCTCCGCCCCCCCGCCGCCACCCCGTGCCAGCTCGATGCAGAGCTACCTGTGAGGCCACCCTCTTGCTGGTCTTCTCAGGGCTTTGTGTGTCTGTCTTGTGCCTCTGTCCTCTTGTGTTTGCCTGATGCAGAGTGAGCATACCCTTATGGGACACTCACTGTGTTCACTCACAGCCCGGGTGAGACCCTCCAGATCTCTATTTTAAAGATAAAGAAATGGAGACTCAGACAAGTGACGAAATGAAATACGTGTTTACCAAGCAGAGGAAATCATCCTAGGTGATCAGCACATCCCCAAGGGACAGGATGCTTGGGTCCATATCACAAGGGGGCTTGGCCAGGGGAGTCAGGGCTGGCTATCAGCCTCCTCGTTCGTGTCCGGGTGTAAGTGGCCACCACTCCTGGACAGAGATCTCTGTCCTCAGCCCAAGCCACCTTCTCTTCCCCTGTTTCTCCTTCCCCCTCTCTGCCTGAAAGATCAGCCCCCACCCACAGCTGCCACACACAGCCCTCCCCTCCCTCCCAGAGCTGCCACAGAAGCCCGCTTCCACACACAGTTCTGGGCTTGGATCAAGGCCAGGGCAGCAACAGCCCAGAATGGGTGAAGGGTCAGGTGCAGGGGGAGAAGGGCTTGCTGAGGGCTCAGAGGGCCCACATCCCCATGAGGCTAGGTCCCCGTCCTGAGCCGGGTCAGGGAGGGGCACTCACCACCACTGAGCAGGAGTCTTTGCTGGACCCTGCTCTGACCTCTGTGGGTAAAGCATGACACCCCCCACCCCCCCACCCCAGGATCAGTTCTTTGCTGTGGGCCCACTCAACGGGAGGCCCACTCAGACATGACCTGTCTGAGTTCTTTCAGCCCCCACCTCTGGAGCCGGCTAGGGACCAGGAGGGAAGAAAAGGGAAGGGTGGCCAAGTTCCAGGCTCTACAAAGAGCTTGTGTCTGGGAGAAGAGTAAGCTCTCTAAGGGGAGACATATCCAGAAACTTGGGAGACTCTTCAGAGTCCAGAGGGTTTGCAGGAAGTGGGTTTGTCAGAATGGGACACGGGGGTGGGGGGTGGGGGTTCCTTCCCGTATGCGCGGGCGCGTGTGTGCGCGCGCGTGTGCGCGCCGCGTAAGGGGGATCGAACAGAACTGAAGAGGGCATTCCGGATGGTAAGGTGGTTTTCTGTGGGGTAGTGCGGGCCTCCCTGAGGGGGTCTCCCCTTCCCCAGTCTCCGTCCTCTGGAGGACCTCCCGGGCACAGCTGGTTCCAAAGACCCCCTTTGGCTTGTGCAGTCACTCTCCCTGCTCAGAAGGCCACCCTCCTCTCTGATCCCTGATGGGATGACCCCCCAACCCGGGGTCCCACTTGGGCCCCACTTTCTCCCTGAGGTTGCTCTTCTTCTGGAGGTGTGACCGTTGCCCATCAGATTCTTACTCCTGTGCCCTCAGACTGGGGGCTCTCACAGACTTGCAGGGCACCAGGTTGCCGGATGGGGACAGCCCCAGGGCTTGAGGGATCATCAGCGTCCTCTGCTGATCTGACGCCTGCCCACTTGCACACTTCTACTTTGTTGGAGGGGCCCCACTCTGTGTCTCCCGATGTCTGTGATATCGGACGCAGAGAAGGCGGCATCCATACCCGCCCCCCCCCCCTCCGGGGAACCTGGAGAGAGGGGTCTTAATGACCAGGCGGCGCTTGAACCGTGAGAACTTTATGTGGAAGGGTGGGGCCGCGTCAACGTGGGAAGACGTTGCCGTCAACTTTCTCCTCCAGGATGGTCTCCACGCGCCTCCTCTGTGGGCGAGAGCGGCTGGGGCCAGGTGTGCGGGGACGCGGGCCGGGACGCACCCCCCCCCCCCCGCGCTCCACCCCCTCCCGGGCTTGTGGGCACCTCTTGACGATCCAGGGGGTCCGGGATCCGCGTGGGCTTCAGCTGCGGCGGTAGGAACAGCTCCAGCCGGATGGCGGCGCGCGCGGACTTCTGCTGCCAGGTGAGGAGCGCGATCTCCTCCGCCTGCGGGTCGTGGGGCGGGGGTTCGGGTCTCCAAGCCTCCGCGATGTTTTGCCCTAGCTCCGCCCGCCGCCTCCTGCAGGGCGCCCCCCACCCCCACCCCTTTCCTCGGGGCACCCGGGCTGGTGTCCCCTCCCCGCCCCGCAACCCTCTCGCCTGCGCGCCCCTTCCTTCCGGCCCCGAGCCTCACCCGCATGCGGATGTAGCGCAGCCGCAAGGCGCGGATTCGCCCCCGGGCCTCGGCTGCCTTGAGGACGCCGAGGAGCCGGTCCTGGCGCACGCCGGGCGGCTCCGGTGACTGCGTCCACGCACGCGGGTCGGGCATACGGCTCCCCAGCTCCACTGACTCGCGCGGGAAGATAGAGGCGGCCGCGCCCACGTCCTCAAGCTGGTCACCGAAGAGCAGGTGGCGGTGACGCTGCGCGGGGCTCATGGCCGCCAGCCCCTCCAGCGTCAGGGCCCACCCTGGCTTGGGGGGTTGCGCCGCGGGCGCCCCCCGGGCGCGTTCCTCAAGGGACCCCTTTCCGGTTCGCTCCCGCGGGCCCCGGAGCCCGGCCTCCTTCTCTGCTGGCGACTGCATGCTCGGCCCGCTCTGCCGAGGGAAGAGTGAGTCCCACTGGCACCGGCCCGGCCCTCCCCCCCCCCCCCCTCGTGCGCTCCCAGCTCTGGCCCTTCTAGATTCCCCGCAGCTGGCCTTAGGTCCTGCATCTGCAGACTCAGCACCTTTGCGCGGGCCTAGCGCCCGTCTTCCTTACCCCTGCTGTCAACCAGACATTTCTGATCCGCCGAGTTTCAGGAAATTCCCTTCCTGCCCACCGGCTGGTTCTCTGTCCACTGAGAAAATGCGGAGACCTGGGGCCCTACTCAGGGTAGAGAACATGTTAAGCTTGGCAGGCCCTTCCCCACAATTCTGGGACCCTCAGTGTGCCCCAGTCCCCCATGTCTGTGGTTGACGGTCAGTCAGCAAACCCCCAGTCTCCCCCCGCCCCCGCACTGCAACCCCGGGAGCAGGGGGGCAGGGGGGGTGGTGGGGGGGTGGGGGGGGCGGGTTGCTCTACTCGGCCTTAGTGTTAGGGGCTGGAGATGAGAGTCGGTGGGCTTCCGTTTTGCCCTGGGCAGAGGACTCATGTCCTTCTGGGAGGTGTGTGTCTGTGGGAGGCCGAAAGCAACTTGGACAGTTGCTGCCCTGGACGTGTTTGGGGGGAACCCTGTCTTCCTAGCCTGTCCCCTGCTGGGTCTAGATGACAGCAGAGCCCACGGAGGTGACAGGGCGGGGAGGGCCCACGAGAGAGGAGACGGGAACTCCCAGGGCGCCTGGTTCAGCCCTGCAGGACTCCTTCCTTCCGAGCCCACAGCACCTCAGGCCCCGGATCCTGGGCCAGCTTCTGGCCCGCTGTGGGCCGCAGGCAGAGCCACACAACGTGGCATTTGCCAGAGGCCATCACCCTCCCCCAACTCATTCTTGCTACATTGGTCGAGGGGCCGGCTCTTGTCCCCCATCCGTACACCCCATACTTTCCGCCTTCCGGGGTCTGAGCCTCCAACTGAGCCCTGACTCTCCTGGGCTTGTTGACGCGGTTGCCTGGCAACCGGGAGTCCCGCCCTCCCCCTGCACGGCGGGGGCGGGCCTGCCCCTGGGGAGGGAGGGGCACCGGCAGAGTCAGGATCCAGGTGCTTGGAGGGCGCCCACATCCGACGGGCGAAATCCCTGCAGCAGACCCGAGCAGGTGACCGCCAGTTTTTCCAGCCCGGGTGCCCTTTCTTTCCTTTCTGGGAGCCCCAAACGTACTCTTCTGGGAGCTGTGGTCCCAGCTTCCAGGCTGGAGAAGTCTTTGGGGACTGGCTTTGGGGGCAGAGGGCGTAGCAATGAGACCTTCCTGTCTGATAGGCGTTCTCCGCTGCTGGACCCAAAAGGGCTCTCACTGCCACTGTCGTTCACAGGGAAGGGAAACTGGGGCAGAGCTCAGGAGGACACCTACCCTCTTCCAGGGCAAGTTTGGAGTCTCAGGGGTCCCGCAAGACCGGAGCCAGGTTTTCCCGAACTCTAAATTTCTGGGTCCTGGGTCCTATATTTCTGTAATGTATTTGTTAGTGTCATCATATTTCATAACTAACTCACTTCTCAGTTTATTAATTCTATAACTCATGCATGCACTCATCAGTTTATTCTAGAATTCATTAATTCAGGGGCCCCTGGGTGGCTCAGTGGGTTAAGCATCTGACTTCACTCACAGTTGGTGAGTTTGAGCCCTGCATGGGGCTCTCTGCTGTCAGCACAGAGCCCACTTCGGATCCTCAGTCCCTGCTCGCTCGCTCTCTCTCAAAAAATAAATAAAAACATTAAAAAAAAAAAACAAAAAAAACCCAACCCTTTAGAACTCATTAATTCATGTGCTGGTGCTACATTAGGCCAAAATTGTTGCATTAAGTCCACAATTCGTTATGGTGCATGCACAACTCTCCCCTTCATTCACGGTCGTGTGCCGAGGATGATGATGCCTTTTTGGGGGTTCAGGACCTGCAGCCCCGAGGTGGGAACTGTCCTGGGGATGGGGTCTCAGCTGAGACCTGGCCTTTGTGCAGGAGGGTGTTGACGGTTCACCTTGTTTTTGGGAGCTTCCTCTGGCTTCCTGGTGAAAGGGTAAACTATGACTTTGTGCCCCCGGAACATCAGAGCCTGCACCAGCCCCAAGCTCCATGGAATGACTGTCCATCCTTGTGGCCCCCAAGGCTTTGCACAAGCTGTTCCTGGGGTGCTGCCCCTTCCCGCCCAGCACGTGCCTTTGGGATGTGGTCTGGGCCTTGAGAGTCGGCACCAGCCTTGGGGCTTGTTGAAGACACAGGCCTCTGGGATCCAGAAGCAGCAACGGCTTAGGGAGTCTGACGTAGCAGGCCACTTCCTCCAGGCAGTCCTCCCGGATATCCACAGCCAGGCAGGGGCTGCCTCAGGTTCAACTCTGTGCTCCCACCCTGGTGAGTGCTGTGAGACGGGGATCTTGGCCCTCCTCTCAGCTTCCCAGGTCTGGGCCAGGAGCATTCGCAGAAGGGGAGTTACTTGCTGGCTTCTGGCAGTGGAGGGGGGTTTATAGGGCCAGTGGGAGCTGCTCTCCTGCAAGAAGGGACTTGTAACTTTCCCTCTGTTTTTGTAGGACTGAAAACCCTTGACACCCCCTCCTCCCTAATCCTTGGAGGGCTTGGTGCCTGGGCTCCTCCTCTGCACGCCCTGCAGTTTCCTGGGGAGGGGGGTGGGGCGGGGATCCCCAAATGTCTAGGGCCCAGTAGCTGTGCGAGGCCACCAGGTAGGTGTCTCCCACCTATTTCTGTGCCCAGGACTCGTCTGTTTTTCAAGGGCTGATGGGAATGCTGGGATCTGAAAGCATTTTGACTGCTGCCAAAGCCTGAGAATAAAACTCCCAAAAAAATTAAGATGCTTGTGAAGTGACTACAAAATTTAACATTATATTGAAAATGTACAGGTCAATTCTTTTGTTGCCATATATAAATATTATAAAGTCAAAATCACACAAAGTAATTCATTATGATGAAACTCACAACCGATAAAATCCTTCCATTTTGGTTTTTTCTTAGGGGCACCTGGGTGGCTCAGTAGGTTAAGCATCTGACTCTTGATCTTGGCTCAGGTCATGATCTCACAGTTTGAGGGTTCAAGTCCCGCACTATCAGCGTGGAGCCTGCTTGGGATCCTCTCTCTCTCTCTCTCTCTCTCTCTCTCTCTCTGTCCCTCCCCTGCTTGTGCTCGTGTGCACATGCACGTTCTTTCTCTTTTAAAAAAATGGATGAATAAACTAAAAAAAAAAAATATCCTTGGAGGCGTCTGGGTGGCTCACTGGGTGGCTCAGTCTAAGCATCAGACTCTTGATTTCGGGTCAGGTCATGATCTCTGGGTTTGTGGGATTGAGCCCCGCGACGGGCTCCCCACTGAGCGTGGAACCTGTTTGAGATTCTCCTTCTCTCTCTGCTCCTTCCCTGCTTGGGTGTGCACTTTCTCAAAATAAATAGATAAATAAACTTGAAAGAAAGAGTCCTTTCACTTTTAATTTAAATTTTTTTAGGATTTATTTATTTTTGAGAGAGTATAAATGGGGAAGGGGCAGAAGATCTGAGGCAGGCTCTGTGCTGACAGCAGCGAGCCCTGCATGGGGCCTGAACTCACAAACCTTGAGACCTGATCTGAGCCAAAGTCTGATGCTCAACCAACTGAGCCACCCAGGAACCTGGGTCTTTAACTTAAAAAAAAAAAAAAAATGTTTTTTTTTTAACGTTTGTTCAGTTTTGAGAACAGACAGAGACAGTGCATGAGCAGGGAAGGGGCAGAGAGAGAGACACAGAATCCGAAGCAGGCTCCAGGCTCTGAGCTGTCAGCACAGAGCTCGACGCGGGGCTCGAACTCACCAACCGTGACATTGTGACCTGAGCCAAAGTCGGAGGCTCAACTGCTCCACCGACTGAGCCCCCCAGGTGCCCCGAGGGCCTTTCACTTTTTAACAGCACAAATGACCTGGGGACTGAGTTCCCCGAGGGGAGGGCAGCTGTTCCCTGTTAGGCTCTGGTGACTCTGCTTGGATTCCTGTGCCGCGCCCAGGGGTAGCAAAGCACCCAGAGGTGGACGGAAGCAGACGGCGAGCCTGCCCGAGGCCACGAGTAGCGGCGTTTCCGGGCTGTGACTCACTGGGCAAGAGTGAGGTGCATTCGCCCCACTTTGTGGGTGGAAATCTCTCTGGGACCAAGTCCTGCCACAAATTCCCATGACTCCTGAGTGCAGCCCAGGCAGCTACGACCATAATTTGTGGACATGGCGTTCTGTGCCGTCATTCACGTAAGCCGCATGCCTTGGGCTGTCCCTGGTGCCCCTGTGTGTTTCGTTTTGCCTGCATATGACGTGAGTTTGAGTTGTCCTGCTTTGATACCAATGCTGTCTCACATAACGTGTCCCCTGCTGTCCCATGTGTGACACATGTGTTCTGTGTCTTACCCTGGCTGTGCAGGGGCTATTTCCTCGGTGCTGCCAGCTCCCTTTGTGGGAGCCCTTTAGAGTCCAAGGCTGGGCCGCTGTCACACCCAGGGAGTACAGTCAGCATTCCAGCCTGACCCCCCACGGGCCAGGTGACCAAGCCTGACCTTCGGCTGAGACTATCCGTGTGAAGGGCCAGGTATCTGCTTCCAGCCGTCCTTAGCACTGGGTGCATTGGGTGCACTCTCACGGGATACCTTTCCAGACCAGCCTCATGGCCCTTTCTTCCCCTAGTCTGTGCCGGAGCTGGGAGGCAGCTGGAGGCCATTATGAAACGAGCTCTGTGGGCCGGTGAGCAGGCAGCGGGGGCAGGAGGGGCTGGGATTGGCTGCTCAGACCTCGGTCAGCCCGGCTGGGGGAGGCTGCAGGAGGCCAAGCCTGGCCTCCTTGGGTTCCTGCCCCTGCTGGGCTCCCGAGGTCAGCAGGATCATACTTCAAGCTTCACCTGGAGAGTGTGGTGCTCGTGTGTGTGGCCCCTGGGTGTCTGAAGGCCTTGATCTGTGTGTCCGCCTGTTCTGTCCCGTCTACTCATGTGCCTTGAGTGCACGTTGGCGTGGGTTCACGTGTGTGTGGTCCGTGTGTTTGTGCCTGCGGGTGTCTGTGCATTTCTGAGCATGAGCTTGTGTTTGTGTGTGTTCACTCGTGTGCCTGTTTGGGCATCTTTGTGTGTGTGCGTGCAGGCACGTGAGCCTGTGTCCTGAGTGTCCCTGTGGGTGTGCCCCATGTCTCCACACGTGTCCCTGAGTCAGCCGCAGTGAAGATGCAGAGATAAGCCCTGGGGGACAGCTTAGGATGCTGAGTCCTGGGGCATCTGCCTGCCCTGTCCTCTCTGATTTGCCAGGTATCCTAGCGACGCTGCTGCCAGTCGCCTAGCAACCAGGTCCCCATCCTTGGAGACGGATGCTCCAAGCAGGGTCTGGGCTATGTGAGTAGAGCCTGTGCAGGAAGAATGACCCCATGATTGCAAGGCTGGTAGCTGATCTGAGAGATCTCCCACACGGCATGTGACCCCAGGGCTGGGAAGGAGGCAGCCCCACCGGAGCCCTTTGGCTGCGTCCGTGTGGGGGCCCAGGCTGTGACGGAATGATGCTCAGATGTTGCCCTGGGACCCTGCTATGGCGAGACGCCCTTGGGGTGTCTCAAAGCTGCGGGTGGATCTGGGTTTGAACCCTGTCTCTGCTACTTTGACAGGTGACTTCACACCTCTGAGGCTTAATGCTCCTGTCTGCACGAAGGTGATGCTGATGACAATGAGCCGGTATGATGGGGACGGATGAGCTCGCGTTCGTGATGGACGTGCGGGGCACACAGCAGGGACACAGGGTGCACAGTAGAGTCTAGGCGTCTTGTCTACAAGGCTCTGATCCGCTTGGGGCTGGCTGGGCGGGGGCACTGTGTATCCACCTACCTACCTATTGGCCTGCTGTGCCTCAGTTCCCCTGGAGCCCAGCTGAGGGTGCTGTTCTGGGCACAGAGTGCAGACGGAGGCTGGTCTGAGCCTGTCCAAGGCAGTGTCTCTGTGTGTGAGACAAGCCCCCATGTCTGTGTCCCAGTCTGTGTGTGCACCTACCTGTGTCTCCATCCCGTGTGTCCACTCTGTCTCTGTCCCGTGTCTCTGTGTCTGTCCCCCGTGCCCGTCCCCGAGTCCCCGTGCGTCCTTGTGTGTATGTCTGTGCCCCGGCTCAGTTCCTGTGTCCGTGTGTCGGAGCCCGTCTGTCATTCATCTCTAAGTGTGTGCCCTGGTCCTTTGGTCTCTCCCCATCCAGTGTGGGGCCTGGTGACCCCTGCCTTCCCTGCGGCCCCCTCCTCCACCCCGCGTGGCCCCTCCCCCTCAGGAGCAGCAGTCTCCTCCCCATCCCCCAGCTCCGCGCTAGGCTGCTGCGTCTGGTCTGGCAGCTACAGGGAGGGAGCAGCCGCCTGCCGCAGCCCTGTCCAGATCCGGCGCTGAGGGCCGTGGGATCCCAGCCCTGCTCTGCCAGCGCTGACGGTTAGCATCCCCACAGTCTTGGCTCCCACGGAGGTCGCTAAGGTAAGGCCTAAGCTGCTGGGGGCCGGGTGTGGACAGACTGCAGCTCTCAGGCAGGACTGGGGAGGGGTGGGAGGGAGCCGAGTGCTCGATCAGCCTCGGTCCTGTGCTGCAGGTGTTTCTGGGTATGTCTCTGACCCTCTTGTGCCTGTGCGTGCACGAGGTCAGCTTTGGACACCTCTGTGTGTGATGTGTGCACACGGGTGGCCGTGTGTCCATGAGTCCCTGTGGGTGGACACACGTCCCGGAGTGTAACTACATCCACACGCCCCATGTGGGAGTCTACAAGTCTGACGAGACTTACATGCCTCTCTGCGTGTTCCCATCTGTGCATATGTGTCTGCTTGTCTCCATTGTTTCTGTGTGTGGATGTATGCTTCTGCGTCTGTGGCTGCCTGTGTGTATGTGTGGGGGGGTCCACGTGCCTGCTGGGCCACACGCACTGTGCTCAGAGGCCTCAGCTGGGTGGGTGTTGGGTGCTGTGGTCATGTGTCCCTGTCCTCTCCTAGGTACCAGGTGGCTTTGCACGCAGGGAGGTGGCATGGAGTCCCTCTTCCCTGCCCCATTTTGGGAGGTCCTCTACGGCAGCCACCTGCAGGGCAACCTGTCCCTCCTGAGCCCCAACCACAGCCTGCTGCCCCCCAACCTGCTGCTCAATGCCAGCCACGGCGCCTTCCTGCCCCTTGGGCTCAAGGTCACCATCGTAGGGCTTTACCTGGCCGTCTGCATTGGGGGACTGCTGGGAAATTGCCTCGTCATGTATGTCATCCTAAGGTAGGCTGGGGACCTGCCAAGGTTCCCTACTGGTGAGTCCCACATTGCTGCAGAGGGGAAACTGAGGCAGGGGGCTGTTTTGGGTGGGCCTGGCAGGTGGGGGTTCCCACTTTTCCCATTCCATTTCCGGTCATCCTGTCAGGCAGCGTCAGGGTCAGGGTCAGTCCCAAGGTCCTGGATGCTCCGAGTCCTCAGGGTTGGGGCACCTGACTAGGGGGAGAGGGAGAGGAAAGGATCAGCCCTGCTCACCCCCGTCCTGATGGGGGCAGAGGGTGCATCCGTGCCCCAGACGGACTGTCACTCTGACTCCTGGCAGATAACACTCCCTGACCTGAGCCGCGGGCCAGCTTCCTGGCTGAGCCGCGGCGCGAGGCTCTCCGGGACCTCGCCGTGCCCCCAAGAGGCAGCTCTCGCCAGCCGGTTCCGGGGCCTGTGCCGAAGCCCTTGCCTTCAGCTCCAGCATCGTGTTCGCTGCTGCCGTCTGGGCTGACTCCGGCATGTTTGTGCTCAGAATGGGAAAGCCCCTGTGGCCAAGAGGGGTGGCCGGGAGTGGGGTCGGGGCCCATCGTAGGGGAACAGTGTGGGGATGGTGTGGGGGGACAGCGTGAGGACGTGCGCACGTGTGTGTGTTCATGTGTGTTCACGTGCCCAAGCGTGTACAGGCATGCGCGCACACAAAAGGTGAATGCGCACGTGCAGGAGTGCACACAAGTGTGAGCCACACACATACACGTGTGCCTGTGTACATGTATGTGTGGGAGTGGGTGCACACGAGGCAGTGTGCTCTATGTGTGCGTGCACGCGTGTGTGGTTTAAAGCGGGGTAGGCATGCACAGCGTATACACACGAGTGTGTGTGTGCACATACGAAAGCATGAGTGTGTGTACATGCACGGTTAGGGTTGTCCGTGCATGTGAACAGGTCCATGTATGTGAGCGTGTGCACGTGTCAACACGGGCGTGTGCACATATGCGAGTGTGCGCACGTATGTGTGCGAGGTGCATGGTGCACGTGCTCACACAGGGGCCAGGAGGAGCAGCTGGCTGTGCCCAGTGCTGGACCCCGCGAACTGGACTCACACACGTGCCCCTCTATGGCTGGAGGGTGGGTTGTGGGTGACAAGTGCAGCAACCTGGGGTGGTCTTTTTTTTCTTAAGTCTTATTTACTTTGAGAGAGAGAGAGAGAGACAGACAGACAGACAGACAGACACAGACAGAGAGGAAGAGAGAATCCCAAGCAGGCCCTGGGCTATCAGCGCAGAGCCCAACCCAGGGCTCGAACTCATGAACTGTGAGATCACGACCTGAGCCGAAGTTGGAGGCTTAACCGACTGGGCCACCCGGGCGCCCCGGGGTGGTCTTATTCACTCTTGCTGTCGTCACTTCTCTGTGTGTCTCCTCCACACTGTGGCATCAGGACTCTCAGAGCCACATCCTGATTAGAGCAGGCAGGGAAGGTTGTCTTGCCCACAGCAGTCCCCAGAGACACTGGTGTGTGGGGCCTGGTCCGAGTATTAGCACAGTGTATTCTGAGCCTGTGGACTGGGGTGGACTGCCTCTGGAGTCCTGGACCCCAGCTCCAAGTCCTGCTCTTTAAAAAAAAAAATTTTTTTTAACGTGTATTCATCTTTGAGAGACAGAGAGAGACAGAGCGTGATGGGGGGAGGGGCAGAGAGAGAGGGAGACACAGAATCGGAAGCAGGCTCCGGGCTGTCGGCACAGAGCCCGACGCGGGGCTCGAACTCACGAACCTCGAGATTATGACCTGAGCCGAAATCTGACACTCAACCAGCTGAGCCACCCAGGCGCCCCAAATCCTGCTTTTTTTTAAAGATACTTTATTTTTAGAGAAGTTTTAGATTCACAGCAAGATTGAGAGGAAGGTACAGTGATTGCCCATATGCCTCTGCCCCCCAACATGCATGGTCTCCCCTGTTACCAACATCTCCACCAGAATAGTACATTTTATAACGAGTTACAACTCAGTTTTACAATTGAACTTACGTTAACACATCATAATCACCCAAAGCCCATAGTTTACATTATGGTTCACTCTTAGTGTTGTACATCCTGTGGGTTTTGACATGTATCTACCATCATAATATTACACAGAACAGTTTCACTGCCCTAAAAATCTTCTGTGCTCTGCCTGTTCATCCCTCCACACCCCACAACCCCTGGAAACCACTGATATTTTTATTGTCTCCATAGTTTTGCCTTTTCTAGAGTGTTATGTAGTTGGGGTCATACGGCGTGTAGCCTTCTCATGCTGGCTTCTTTCACTGAGGAATATGCACTTAAGTTCTTCCAGATCTTGGGGCGCCTGGGTGGCGCAGTCGGTTAAGCCTCCGACTTCAGCCAGGTCACGATCTCGCGGTCCGTGAGTTCGAGCCCCGCGTCAGGCTCTGGGCTGATGGCTCAGAGCCTGGAGCCTGTTTCCGATTCTGTGTCTCCCTCTCTCTCTGCCCCTCGCCCATTCATGCTCTGTCTCTCTCTGTCCCAAAAATAAATAAAAAACGTTGAAAAAAAATTAAAAAAAAAAAAAAAAGTTCTTCCAGATCTTTTCATGTCTTTTTATCACTGAACCATATTCCATTTTCTGGATGGACCACAGTTTACGAATCCATCACCTGCTGAAGGGCATCTTGGTCACTTCCAAGTTTTGGCAATTGTGAATAAAACTGCTATAAACATCTGTGCGCAGGTTTTCACGCAGATACAAGTTTTCAACAACTTTGGGTAAATATCAAGGCGTGTGACTGCTGGATCGTATGGTAAGAGTACATTTAGTTTTGTAAGAGACCAACGAACTGTCTCCCAAAGTGGCCGCACCGTTTGGCGTGCCTGCCGGCAACGCATGAGAGCTCCCGCCGCCCCACACCCTCACCGGCGTGTGGTGTCAGTGTTCTGGAAATTGCTCGTTCGAAGAGGTGTGTAGCAGAATCTCATTGCTGTTTTCACTGGTGACGTGTCTGGTAAAGTCTTTGTTTTCTTATTGTCGAGTTTTAAGCCTTCTCGTGTATTCTGGACAGCAGCCTGCATCAAATGCATCTCTGGCAAGTCTTTCCTCCTGTCTGTGGCTCATCTTCTAGTTCTCTTGATCCTCTCTGCTTTTTTGCCAGCTCTTTTCAAGGCCACTTAGATCCTCTGAGCCTAAGGGTCCTCTTGCATGGAGTGGGGATCAAAATAGCATTTTTGAAATTAAAAAATATTTTAATGTTTATTTGTTTTTGAGGGAGAGAGAATGTCAGATCATGAGCAGGGGAGGGGCGGAGAGAGAGGGAGACACAGAATCCGAAGCGGGCTCCAGGCTTGAGCTGCCAGCGCAGAGCCCGACGCGGGGCTCAAACCCACACACCGCGAGTTCATGGCCTGAGCCGAAGTCGGACGCTCAACCGACTGAGCCACCCAGGCGCCCCTAGTCATTTTTTTCTTTTTTTTGAGAGACAGAGACAGAGCGTGAGTGAGAGAAGGGCAGAGAGAGAGGGAGACACAGAATCCGAAGCGGGCTCCAGGCTCTGAGCTGTCAGCACAGAGCCTGACGCGGAGCTCGAACTCACGGACCGTGAGATCACGACCTGAGCCGAAGTCGGACGCTTAACTGACTGAGTCACCCAGGCGCCCCGCATCTTTGAAACTTAAATGCGATAAAATCCATGTGAGAGCTTGGCTCAGGTGTCTGCCACTGTGGTCATTATTGCTGTTATTTGGTCATAATTAAGGTCTGTTTGTGCTTCTTTCTAATCCTTCTCTGAGAGGCAGCACTGACCCCCAGATTCCCTTATGGCAGCTTAGTTTACAGGGAACATTGGCGTTCCTGGTGACGGCAACATCTTTGGCGTTGTGCGACCACCACCACCGCAATCACCACCACCTTAATTACCACCACTGCCACAACAATCACCATCATCACCACCGTCACCAGCATTCTCTCCACCACCATCCCCACCACAATCACCACCTCCATTGCCACCATCATCACTATTGATTCATTCAACAAGCATTTATTTGCTATTTATTATTTTTTGATAGTTTTTAAAGTTGATTGATCTATTCTGAAAGAGACACAGACAGTGCAAGTAGGGGAGGGGCAGAGAGAGAGGAGAGAGTCTCAAGCAGTCTCTGCACGGCCAGCGCAGGCTTGATGCGGGGCTTGAACCCACGAAGCCATGAGATCGTGACCTGAGCCCAAACCATGAGTTGGATGCTTAACCAACTGAGCCACCCAGGCACCCCTATTTATTATTTTTTAAAATATATATTTACTTTTGAGGGACAGGGAGAGAGAACGAGTGGGGGAGGGGCAGAGAGAGGGGGACAGAGGGTCCCAAACAGGCTCTGCGCTGACAGCCTGATGTGGGGCTCAGACTCATGAACCACGAGATCGTGACCTGCGCCAGTCGGGCACTTAAGTGACTGAGCCACCTAGGTGCCCCACTTGACAGGTGTTTATTCCGTAACTATAAGGTCCCCGGACCTGTCCCTTGGATACAGCCAGGTCTTGTTAGCACACCTCCCATTTCTGGTGCCGTTTCCTGTCTCTATGGCCGGACCACAACATGGACCGGAAGGCCTCTGATGTGCTTTTACAGACCCTGGAGCCCTCAGGAACCTCTGGTGTGTCTAGGGCCAACATCGTAGTCCGTGGACTGTCTTCAGGAAGACTTGGAAGGCAGGGAGGGGGACTGGTCCTTTTTCTGAAGATTCCTGTCCCCTTGCTCCCACGTGGAGTCACAGGGGTGCTCTGCTGCCTGACATCCCAGCCTTCCCAAAGCAGACCGGTTTGGGGGTTCGGAAGCCTTCTGTGTGTGCCAGACGCACACTTTTGTGCCCCAAGTCCCTCGTGCCGGGCCCGGGGGCCCGCCTTCCCACACGGGTCTCGGGGCGGGTGCTCCTGGTGGTGGCAACAAGAAAGGCCCCCGGGCCTCCGCCGCCGGGTCCAGCCAGAGGGACTGGGCCAGGTCTTCCTTCCCCCTGTGCTCTCCGCAGGCACACCAAGATGAAGACAGCCACCAACATTTACATCTTCAACCTGGCTCTGGCGGACACTTTGGTGCTGCTGACGCTGCCCTTCCAGGGCACAGATGTCCTCCTGGGCTTCTGGCCATTTGGAAATGCCCTGTGCAAGACAGTCATTGCCATCGACTATTACAACATGTTTACCAGCACCTTCACGCTGACCGCCATGAGCGTGGACCGCTACGTAGCCATCTGCCACCCCATCCGCGCTCTCGATGTCCGGACGTCCAGCAAGGCCCAGGCCGTCAACGTGGCCATCTGGGCTCTGGCGTCTGTCGTGGGTGTTCCTGTCGCCATCATGGGCTCGGCGCAGGTCGAGGACGAAGGTCGGTGGGTGGCCCCCCTCCCCCGTGCTGTCGTCCTCTGGCCCCAGAGGGCCCCGTGCCGGCTCGCTCACCCTGGCCCTGTGTTTCTCCCTGCAGAGATTGAGTGTCTCGTGGAGATCCCCGCCCCACAGGACTACTGGGGCCCCGTGTTTGCCATCGGCATCTTCCTCTTCTCCTTCATCATCCCCGTGCTCATCATCTCCATCTGCTACAGCCTCATGATCCGGCGGCTGCGTGGCGTCCGCCTGCTGTCCGGCTCCCGGGAGAAGGACCGGAACTTGAGGCGCATCACGCGGCTGGTGCTGGTGGTGGTGGCGGTGTTCGTGGGCTGCTGGACGCCCGTCCAGGTCTTCGTGCTGGTCCAAGGGCTGGGCGTTCAGCCGGGCAGTGAGACCGCAGTGGCCATTCTGCGTTTCTGCACGGCCCTTGGCTACGTCAACAGCTGCCTCAACCCCATCCTCTACGCTTTCTTGGACGAGAATTTCAAGGCCTGCTTCCGAAAGTTCTGCTGTGCTCCTGCCCTACGCCGGGAGATGCAGGTGTCCGACCGTGTGCGCAGCATTGCCAAGGATGTGGCCCTCGCCTGCAAGACCCCCGAGACAGTACCACGGCCCGCATGACTAGGCGTGGACCTGCCCATGGTGCCCGTCAGCCCACAGAGCCCGTCCACACCCAACACGGAGCTCACCCAGGTCACTGCTCTCTAGGCAGACGGCAACCTGAGCCCTGAGCGTCGCCGGACTCACAGACTTCACCGTGGCTTCCGAGGGCCCGGTGACATCATGGGACAGGTCAGACTACAGCCGCCCTCCGGGTTCAGGGCGGAGAGGGGACGCGAGGACCCGCCGGTGAGCGTGCGCGACCAGAGCGCACGCCAACTCTCCTACGCGCCTCGGGACCCTTCCGGCCTCTGCCCCGCCGCGCCCTGTGCGCTCTTGGCGCGCACACGCCTCGAGGCGTAACAGCAGCGTGCCCACCCCGTGCGCCTGTGCGGCGCGCCGTCTGCCGTCTGCGGGGAGCCCTGCCGCGTCTCCTTGGGCTTGGAGCCGACCGGCGGGCTGGCAAGGCGTCCGCGGGCAGCGGGGCTTGGAGCCTGCGCCTCAGCTGCTCCCCTTCCCGTCCCCCACCCGCCTCTCAGAGGCTTTTCCCTCCAGAAGCGCCAAGAACTGTCAGCCTCGGCGCGTGCGGAGGCGGCTCAGAAGGCCTGTGGGCTGCTTGATCGCCTCAGGCCGCCGTTTCTTTTTCAAAATGTCTTCTTTAAAAATTGTGTTTCTCTTTTTAGAGAGAGAGAGAGGACGCAACGGGGGGAGAGGGGCAGAGGGGGAGAAAGAGAATCCCCAGCAGGCTCAGTGCACAGCCCGACGTGGGGCTCAATCCCACGACCCCCGGACCATGACCCGAGCTGAAATCAAGAGTCGGAAGCTCAACCGACTGAACCACCCAGGTGCCCCCACTCTGTCATTACTGAAACAGCCCCGTGTTCCTGGTCTTGGCTGCTTGGTTCTGGGGAGGGCTCTGCCATGCTCCGTCTGGGGGTCCCTGTGTCCTCCCCGGCTCTCTTGAAATCAGAGGTCAGCAGCCATGCAGCTGGCGGGACCCTGCACCGTGTTTGGATCCTGGTGGCCTTGGAAGAGGAGTGGCAGTGGGGATGGGGTCTTCTTTGCCCCCCCCCCCCAAGTGACTGATTCCCGCTTCATTTACAAGCCTCCCAGTGTCTGTGGGGCAGGTCTGAGCTTCCTGCTGCCGGGACTTACCCTACCTGGGGCCACATCGGGATGGCTTCGCATGCAGAGCTGGCGTAAGGGGTGGGGCTCGACAGGGCCTGCTTGAGCCAAGTGTGAGGACTGTCCGGCTGTGGAAACACTGGAGGGGAGGGTGTCTCCCTGCTGTTGTCACCAGAGAAGCACCCTCCCTGGTCTGCAGATGTAACTGTGGTTTGGTGACTTTGCAAACACTCTTCCTGCAGAGAAGCTGTTGAATACTCCCAGCGCTGGACAGACTATTCTGCCTCCACCTGTGAGCTGAGCTGCAGACCTCAGCCAGGTGACCTTAAGCACCTGCAAAGAACACGAAGCAACGACTTTGGGCCGACTCCTCCTGCTTCAGGGAGCCCCGGCCCTGTGGGGTTGCTCCTGGAGAGGATGGGGCTGTGCTGGCTGCAGTGGCGGCGGGGAGGCCTCTGGAGACGGGGGCTGCCTCAGCTGGGGCACTGTCCTGCCAAGGCTGCAGGAGTTGTGAATTTTGTGCTGGAGTAACATGTGTCTCCGTGTATTTATGCATGCGACAAGCATGACTTCCCCTACATGTAACCAACCTTGATCATGCCTCTAGGCCCATGGAGGGCCATAATAAACCCTTGCCTCCTGAGCAGGTGTTTTGGGCCCCTGTGGGGTGGGGCTGTTGGGGCCGTGAGTCCTTCCACTCCCTCTGTGCTCCTCACCTGGCCAGGCTCTGGCTTTGAGAAGGGATGTGACCAGTTAGTTCACGATGCCCTGGAGGTCTGTTGCCTTTCCCCCAGCACAAACCGTTTCTCCCTGAACGACTACTGTGCGTCCATCCTGCCCCGGCTGCTAGAGGTTCCCTGCGGGTCCAGTGTGGGGGGGGTGCTCTTCCCACCTGGGTCACAGGTTCAGCAGACCCCCTGCCTGCCCCAGCCCTTCCCCCTCCCTTGAGCAGGTCTAAGGGGGGTCTTGATGGAAGATGAAAGGAACAGCCTCCCCTGGTGGCCCTGAGATGTGGATTCGCCCCCCTGGCCCCTGTGGGGACCCTGTTCTGCCCAGGTTGACTCTACTGGCCGAGGACCCTCTCAGAAAGAGGCCCTCAGAGGGGGTAGCGAGGGCGAGCTCAGGCCGAGGTGTTTGGGCACAGGCAGATGCGCCAATGTGTGGTTTGGCACAAGTTTTAATGACGGGCACTTTGCTGTTAAAACCAAAAGTAAGCGTCAAGGAAACGTTTGGGAGTGACCGGCTACAGGGCGGAGGTGCGTGAAGAATGCTCAGGACAGTTGTGGTTCTGCTGATGGAGGAGCTCAAGGTGGGTCCGTGCAGGGCCGACCCCGCAGTGAGCACCCGCGCAGAGATGGGCCGTGAGGGGTCACACGAGCCGCGCCGCGCAGGCGTGAGGGGCCTGTGAGGTAGCCCGCAGGACCGTGGGCGTAGGGTCCCAGCCCAAGCTCTCCAGGACTGTGTCCGCCCCAGCCCAACGGCGTCCGCTGCCCACCTCCACCCGCACCACGTCCCCACCTCCGTCCCCTCCTGCGTCGGCCGCGGCCCTGCCCCCCTCCCCCACGTGCCCCCCTCGCCTCCGCCCCTACCAGCCCCCGGGTTGGTTAAGTCTCCTGGTTCCTCCGAGCCTCAGTTTCCTCACCTCTGCCAAAGGGACGGCTGAACCTTCCTTGCGGGTTCGTGGGGGAAGGCCCAGGTTGTGGACCAGGACGGGGCTGTGGGCAGGGGTCAGCGGCCGGGTTGCACCTGCTAGGGAGGCGGAGGGCTCGCCTGCCCTCTGGACTTTGCGCTGGGGAGCCGGCCCGCCCTAGCTGGGAGATTTGGAGAGCCGAGGGGAGCCCCGGGTCCTCCCCTGGACGACAAGCTCAGAGGTTGGGGACACTCCTTTCTCTCCCCCCACTCCACCTCAGGAAGTCACAGTGGAGGGTGTGGAGACAACCAGCGCCAGCGGGGGGAGGCGGGCGGTTGGCATTTTCCTGGGGACCCAGCAACTCGCTTGGGTGGAACCTTGGTGAGGATTCACCTGTCCCCTCATCTGGCTGGCCCATGGCCACCCCCTCCCCCGCCCTTGTCCTTGGGGTCTCCGGGGGGGGGGGGGGGGGTCCTGGCGTGAGGACCCTCCCTCCCATCCGACATGGGGATGGGGCGGGGAACTGCGGGCTGCCCGGCTGATTCTGATTGGCCTTGGTCCCTGCCACGCTGCCGCCCATCCTCCCAGTGTTGCTGGGACCCGGGGGGGGGGGGGGGGGGCGAAGGGGGCAGGGTCAAGTGTTGAGGAGTCTCTGAGCAGCGCCACGCCCCTCCCGCCCCTCTGTTCCCACCGCTAGTCAGGAACGCACCCTCCAGCCTTTGTGACTGCTGTGCCCTGTTCACTCACTCATTTGCACCTCACACCCGCTCTCACCTCCACGGTCTTAGAAGACGTGTCAAGAGCCTCAGCTCCTCTCCTCAAGAAGCTTGCACGCAGCGCCAGTGCGGAGGCACTAATTGGGGCTGCTGCTGGCGGAGGTGTCCGCCCTGCAGTGACCAAACAGGTCCCAGAATCTTCCAGTGAGAGATGTGGGTGTTAGTAGTGGCTTAAAAAATGTCCACAGCCCCCGAGTGTGGGCTGGGCTTAGTGGCTGACTTCTAATGATTAGAATGTGGCAAATGGCTTCCAAGATAGTCTTTTAAAATTTATTTTTATTTTTATTTATTTATTTTTTTAATTTTTAAAATGTTCTTATTTATTTTTGAGAGAGTGAGCGAGCGAGTGAGCAAGAGAGTAGGGGAAAGGGGCAGAGGGAGAGAGAATCTTAGCCAGGCTCTGCGCTCAGCAGGGAGCCTAATGTGGGGCTCGGTCCCATGATTCTGGGATCATGACCGGAGCCGAAACCAAGAATCAGACACTCAACCGACTGAGCCACCCAGGTGCCCCCCAAGACAGTCTTAGATGGTGTTGAGGCCTCTTCCTGGCTCCCACTCTCCACTGGTTCACCCTGGGGGACCAGCAGCCACACGGGGGCAATGTCCAAGCAGCCCTGGGGAGAGTCCATGTGGGGAGGACCTGAGGCCTCGTGCGCCGGGCCATGCGAGGGGCTCCTTGGAAGCAGCGTCCCCAGTGTGAGTCCAGACTTCAGGTGACCAGAGCCTCACCCAACAGCCTGACTACAACCTCATGAGAGACTCTGAGCCAGAACTACTCTCAAATTCTTGAGCGACAGGAGCTATGAAATAATACAATGATGTCTTAAGCTGTTAGGATCAGGGGAAATTCGTCACACGGCAGTAGATTCTGGTGTCGTCGGGGACGAGGCAGCACAGAGGTGGCTGTAAGCTGTTTCAGGCTGACAGAGAGGAGGGGAAAAGGATGTGGGTCTGAGCTTTAAGGACCACGTGACTGGAGAAGCTGGAGTATGTGAAGGGCGGCAGTCACGCCCCCTGGGGGGGCACCTCATGGATGGTGAATGGTGGGTGTTGTATGCCAGCTGGACAGACAGCTCAGAGCTCTGTGCCATGAGGACTGAAGCCGGCCTGGGGCACCATGAGCTGAGGAGGGTCCTGGGAGATGCCAGATGATGCACAGAATGGCACAGCTAGAGCGCCAAGCATGGAACCAGCTGGGAGCCGTGGGGCTAAGGGCGGGGGAGCCTGGCTGAGGCTTCAGGTCTCTGAATAGCCAGCAGCTAAGTGTCCCCACCCTGACCCCAGAGGTTCAGCACAGGGCTCCTGCTGGCTGAATCTAGGCCCCAGGCCACAACCCAGGGAGGAGGGGTCCGGATGTCAGCCCATCCAAGTACCGGATGCCCCCTCTAGACCGTGGAGGTCCAAAGGTCCTGGAAGAAGGGTCCTGGTGGCCACAGACTATGACATGGAGGGCACGAAAGGGGCATGGGCCACACAGCATGCAGGGTCAAGAGAGGACACCAAGTGGGCATAGGACTCCTGGTGAAATGCCGCCCAAGTTTCAGGCTATGAGAATGCATTCCGTGGCCTCATTTGATAATTGAGTCTGTGGCCTTTGCAGTAACACCTGGCTTTCCTGCCCCAGGTGCTTGCACTTTTGCCCTCTCAGCACTGTCTTGGGAGGGGCCGGCCCAAGGGTGCCGAGTGTGGAGTGCAGTGGTGGCCCCGGGATGCGATCACAGCGTGGGTTTCTTTCCCTCCAGATTATGATTGTCGGGGAAGATGGGGAAGGAGCCTCCGGGGACGTCTTCTGTCTGCCTCTCTGCAGGTGAGTAGACTCAGGATGCGTGTTGCGCCCGGGGTCAGACAGGCAGGGTGGGGCCAGACCCTGACTCCCTGCAGCTGCCTGCCCAGGGGCTGTCCAGGTGGCAGAGACCTGGGAAAGATGTCGCGGTCGTCTCTGCAGGTCCGGTGGGCGGCCTTCACGGGTCTTCCTCTCTCTGGGCGGAGAAGGTGGCGATGGGACGTGAGCAGGTGAGGCTTTCCTCCAAAGGGAACAGCGCTTTTCCTAGCAGACACACGGGGGCTCTGCGGAGGGCGCTGAGGCCCCTGAGCACCGGAACGTGCTGCGTAAGCTGTTTTGGAAGTTCTCATCCAGGAAGGCGTAGAGGAAAGGGTTGAGACAGGAGCTGGCATAGCTGAGGC